AGTTAATCAACCCTCTTGTTTCTTATTTGTTCTAATTCGTTCTCTCTCTAACTCCACCAAAAACCCTACTTCTCCTCCTCAAGGACGCGAACCTAAACCTGAAGCCTTACCCAAACAACCATGCAATTTGGGTCCCAATCATCTTCATTCTGCTTTAATTTCCTTCAATCGCATGCTCCGAATGCGACCTTTGCCCCCAATTTCTCAATTCAACAAAGCTTTAGGTTCTATTTTGAAAATGGGTCATTACGCCATTGCTCTTTCTCTTATTCATAAAAAGTTGCAACAGCTCCACGGCATTCAGGTCGATTTCTACACCTTCAACATTGCTATTAACTGTTACTGCCACCTTAATCGAATCGATTTTGGGTTGTCTCTTTTGGGTACCTTCTTCAAACGCGGCTATACACCCAATGTAATTACCTTCACAACTCTGATTAATGGACTTATTTTGCAAGATAAAACTCCTCAAGCTGTGGAGTTGTTTAAGAAATTAATGAGAAGTAGAGAAATTGAACCCAACGTGGTTATGTATGGAACCATTGTCAATGGGCTCTGCAGAACGGGGAACACTATCAGGGCTGTTAGTTTGCTTAGGATTATGGAAGAGGGAAGTTGTAAACCTAACTCCGTAGTGTATACCACGGTCATTGACAGTCTTTGCAAGGATAGAATGGTGGATGATGCTCTCAAACTCTTTTCTACAATGGATGAAAAGGGTATTTCCCCAGATGTTGTCACTTATACTTCTTTGATTCATGGCCTATGTAATTTTGGCCAGTGGAAGGAGGCTTCTGGATTGTTCAGAGAAATGTTAGATAGTGGTATTGCTCCAAATGTTCATATGTATAATGTGTTGCTGGATGCATGTACCAAGGAAGGGAAGATGAAAGAGGCAGAGGGGATAATTGAAGTCATGATACAAAGAGGTGTGGATCCTGATGTAGTCACATACAGAAGTCTAATGGATGGATATTGTTTGCAAGGCAAAATGGATAAAGCAATCAGAGTGTTGAATACCATGGTGGAGAGGGGCCTTCACCCCAATGTTTTTAGCTATAACATTCTAATCAATGGATATTGCAAGAAAATGAAAATAGATAAGGCCATGCATCTCTTTCGAGAATTGCCTCGAAGGGGGTTGAAACCCGACAATGGAACTTTTGGTGCTATGTTACGAGGTTTGTTTCAAATAGGTAGATGTGGAGCTGCTCAAAAACTTTTTAATGATATGCAAGCTGCAGGCATAATTCCTAATTTTGTAACTTATGGTATCTTATTGGATGGGTTGTGCAAAAATGGGCATATTTCTGAAGCATTGTCATTATTCCACATGATGGAAAGCAACAGTTTACATCCTGATATTGTTAAGTACAATATTCTTATTGATGCATTCTGCAAGGATAAAAAGCTTGATACTGCAAGGGCCCTTTTCAGTAACCTTTCTTCCAAGGGATTACAACCTGATGTTAAGACATACACTACAATGATACAAGGTTTTTGTGAAGAAGGCCTACTGCTTGAAGCTAAAGAGTTGTTTGTTAAAATGGGACATAATGGATGTTTGCCAAATGATGTCACTTACAACACTACTATCCGAGGATTTATTGGACAACAAAAGTGCTATGAGGCATTAATGCTGGTTGAGGAAATGGTTCAAAGGGGTTTTTCAGCAGATGCATCCAATTCTTCCTTTGTCATAGATATAATCCCAACTAAAGGACAAGATCCTGCTCTCCAAGAAGTGATAAAGAAGTTCATGCCCAAATAGTCATGGAATGCAAGAGATTGAGTAAAGTGCTTAAACTGTGAA